GTTGACCCTTAAAGGATGACCATAGACTGAAATTATTTTTCTTAACTTTCAGATACTCTTACGTAGAGACTGAGGTAAACCACGAATTCAGTGTAGATATAGCTGGAACCTATCGAATGAGGCCTGCTAGCCTCTCGACTGCGATGTTCAGTTATTTCTCTTGTTACCGCACAGATTAAGAACTATGTGTGACCTATGTGTAATATGACTGATATTCTCTAAACGCCAATCTGAAAAAAAAAACTTTGTCTTGTAGACCCAGAGCTCAACTGATTGGTTGTAGATGGACTGATACTATTCTATAAACGCCAATCTGAAAAAAAAACTTTGTCTTGTAGGCCCAGAGCTCAACTGATTGGTTGTAGATGGAGGTGAACTTCACGCTCCGACCGCCTTATATTATTTAAAATGTCCAATTTTATTTATGTATAATGAGCTAGGATGAACTCCGGGCACTATCCGGCTTTGGTAGAAGAGAGAATAATTTTGGTCTTGCCAGGAATCGAACTCCGTTCACCATACCGTTAACCGAGTCACGCAATCAGGCTTATAGTATGAAGGAGTATACCACATTGATCACACTGAACTCCCCACGCAAACCGAAGTATCGGTCATAAGATACGAATGTCAGCTAATGACGAATGTTGAATTGAAATTATTTCAATAGGAAATCAATTCGAACAACTTTCTTTTTACTCGTCAGATATACGGAACATTCAACAGGTAGGTTTTCATGTATATAAGGGCATTTTAAGATGTTTATAGCCTGTAATTGTAGGTTCGTTACTTTTGATAACACGAGGGAGGTTAGGTGTACGCTAGAATGTGCATCTCGGTAACCCGCAAAAGAGAAAAACGCATTCTGCGTGTTGTTGCATCAGATACATCGATTTAATCTGAATGCTGTCTCTTTTGTAACGTTGCTTTGTTGTGGGAGCCTGCCTCCTGTGCGACCCTAGCACGTGGTGCGTGAGTAGAAATAAAACGGCTGATTCTCTTAACGCATTCAACACAATTTGATCGCCAATGTCGAAGTGCGGCGCTGGTCTGTATTTTTCCGCCGCAGGTGCAGTTCCGAACTAAATAACTAGCTTAACTGGCGATTAAATATTTAATCAGCTTAGTACAATCGATCAGTTCAATAATCCCGTTAATGAGATTAGCCAATGCATTGCACCGGGTTAATCAGTTCAGACTATTGAGACAGATAATATTGAAAGTTTTTTCTAAATAACAAAAGATTATAACATACCATTACTATAGACTACGTGTATTTACCACGAGAGGTATATCAAGCCTCGAATTATATTGTTAAATATTTCACTGTTCTGAGATATATTACAATGCTTCACCACAAATATATTTATTTAATCCATTTGGGAACCGCGTAATATTTTCAGAACTGTCAATGAAAATTTCTTCAAATTCACATTTAAACCAAGTGATTGATTCACCTGTTATTTAACGACAATGTTTACTTGTGTGGGTTTAGGATTATAAAATAGAATGGTAGTTGGAGTGTATAATAGTAGCGTTAGTTCATGGTAGCCATAATATCTAAGCATTCGTTTTGTTGAGGGACTGGGTAAAACGAAGAATTACACAACGCAAGGTAGCCGATTTTCGTGCTAAGATGCGAACTCCGGATGATCCTTTACGAAGCCTCTAGCCAACCAATCGCGACATTCAGTCGTTTGACAAAAGGGATTTTGACAGCTTACATTAGGCAGGTTCTGGGTCGCAAGTAATAGTATTTTTTCCCTTCGTTTTATTTTTAGGAATTCGCGTTATTACCTGAACCGACCTCAAATACTTTTCCAAATAGACCCGCGTGCTCGGTATGTGTCCAATAGCCCTACAGTTCCTTCGTAGTTCTAAATGACCATGACGGCTGTTTGACAAAATTATTGGAGAATCTGTGGATATTGTATGTTAACTACTTACATATTATGCATTCTTAGAGACTGACCATCTCCGTCCTAATGGTGATAACCACACGTATGTTAAAGATGTACGTAATAGAAATACAATCTCTATGTAGCTGGTTACTCAATGATGCTATTATCGCTATAGATCAACGTGCCTTTCAATTGTTTAACGACGCTTGCTCAGTCACAGCGTATGTTCCGTGGGTGGTTGTATTTAATTCAGAATCTAATTTTACAATTTTCAGTATCAGCTCTAAACGCAGTCTCTTCACGCAATCTGGACCTGCTGCTATAATTTTCTTCGTTACACTTTGCTTCCTCCCTATTAACACTCCTGACTATGATAATGTCTGCAAGTTCCAGAAGCATTTTAGTTCCTCGCCCTCTAAAAATAAAGACGTATACAGGATCTGGTAGTAAAGTTCAATGTAAACTTACTAAATCGGGGACGTGCTTTTACCAAAATTCATATTAAATTCCGTATTTGTTTTGTTTTGGAATTTCTTGATCATAAAATATAGAACTGGCATTTTGTACAGGTAATTTCCTGTGTGCATTAATTCGACCGGATTAGTCAAATTTATTATTCTATTGTAAGCTATCTTTTCATTAACAATAAGTCATTTCCTGTTCATGAGTTGCTGTCGTCAGTTCCTCGTGTCCTAGTCATTAGGAGACCCATTTACCTTCACAAACTCCGTGTTCATTCCATGAAAAAAAAGAAGGGAAAACCAGTTTCAGTGTTTGTTACTGATAGTGAATAAGATAGATAAATGCAGAATCAAAATGTTTTGATTACTGTCGGAGAACAATTGCATTACCTTGCATCATGCAATGAAGTTGATAACCGACAACAGATTTTACATTTAACACGTATTCGATGCGATGTAGGTTCACTAATAACAGTTATTGTATAACTTAAGATGAATTTGTTGTTAAGTCGGGAAATTTCACGGAGAAGTAGTCGAAGTTCACCTATAGAAGACGCAGGAGGTCAAACCTCTAAATTTTTAATATACCGAATTTATAAACCCATATTAAGATTTTGCAGTAAAACGTTGTCGACTCCCAACTACATATCCTTGAGATTGATAGTCTATTAGACTATGTTTTATGACAATTTAGCAGGCTAAGACAATCAATTTGATTAGTTAAATTTATATTAATATCCTACGAAATAATTTATTGGCATCGTTTATAAAAACATTTATACTCAGGAAATATAACATAAACCACCTCTGACCTAAATAAAGACAATTTTACACTAAAAAGTGCTCATGAATCTGGAAACAAAACAGGCTTTCAGCCCAGTAGCATTAAACTGAAATTTAAATTTGTAATAAATTTTAAAGGTACAATCGTGATTTTTAAGCTGTAGAGAAATCAAATAATGTTGCTATCATCATTATTATTTAACTTTATTTGCCTATGCCTACGAATTTATTAATTAGTTTTCTCGTAATCAGTTATTACAAATATTTTAATGTTAAAAAAATCTTGTCCAAGTCAGAGACATTTCATTTGCCTACATTTTAATTGGGGTTGATATTACGTCGTTGCGAATCAGGTTTTCCTTCTGTTAATAACTAAGTTTCCTTCTGCTAGGAATACATATTCGTGTTCCTAGCAGGATTGCTCTCGGAAGCAAGCGGAACGCGGTAATTGCTTGCACACCCGTAGGCTAGCTTCCATGTTAGCTAGATGTATTACACTACATAGCTACTGCACATTAGATTAGGCTGCGAGGTGCGTAGGAGCTAATTGGAGGCAGGTGGAAACTCCCGCAGTTCAAGACAATGAATATGTTGGTCCAACCAAACACACTTCACACATTCGATGTCATAAAGGCGGCCGTTGATTGTGGTTTATAGCGCAACCCAAAGCAAGGGGAGAATATTCTAGAGTCCTCTATTGTTATAATCATTGTTATTGAAAGAATACCAAGAGAACTGCTTTGAACATATTTTTAGAATTCCAGCTTTCTTAATTCCTTGGACTAAGGAGAAAACGAAAGAGTTTGAAGGATCAATTTAATTAACCTATAGACAGGGACGAGTCGAAACACCTCAAACGTACAGCTGATTATTATGGTTGTTGTTATTAGAATGTAAACAGGTCTGAACGTTTCTTTAACACTTATAATTTTCCAGGACGTTATAACATTAACAGTCGATGAACAAGTAGAGGTGCTCACCGGTTATTCTACACGTTTTCGCTTAAATTCACGAGGGTGGAATTATCACAGTTATTTTGTGTTCTAAGAATTACAGATCTAAGAGTAATAAATTATTTCCTCAAAAATAAAATTAGACCAATATGTTGACATTAAGTTAATCAGATCTTATTACAAAACTGTTCTCAAAATCTTACAAGGCAGAAATTTAAATAAATGAAGTGACAATTTTCTTCAAAATGTTCTTACTTTGATTATGAATTACCTTGGTAATATAATTCAGTAACTAGACTAATTTTAACTGAGTAACTATACGAAGCAGAGTTCTTGAAAAAAAATCAGTCAAGAAATTCAAGGTCTTTTATGGAATCCTCAAGTTTATACAATATTTAATGATCCATATAATTCGTCAGATGGATGCAGTCGGCATATCACTAATTTTTTCAATCCATTTTAATATTATCCCCATCTATGCCTAAATAGGCCTACGTTTTTCTATACTAGTCTTGTAGGCCTATCTTTATTACAGTACGGTGACACGTGTTAATAGACAGCTGCTACTTCCTTCTAAATTTGTGACTTTTAAGACGAAACTATTTATTAAGAAACATTAAAAATGTAACACTGTTAGGCCTACAGGCTTTCTGAGTTCGCCATGCCTTCATTTCCGACACTGACACTGTCGTTAGTGTTATTCTCGTTTTAGTGTGGTTTACTACACAAGAAATGAGCCGATAGGAAGTCGCCATGCGAGTAATTGTTTCACGGATGTCATACGCGTTACATAGTAATTTTACAATGTTCCGCCATGACAGAATATCCGTGATTGTGTGTATAAATAAGTGCACTTAGTGTTCATGCATTGCTATGTTGATGTCCGGGAGATCCCGATAACTCACCTGGTCAGGAAGAGGCCTGTTGCGGTACTCATCCGCTGTCACCCAAGAACGTGGTCGATCCACGCTCCTCCCACAAACCACGACGTCACTGCGTAGCCCCTCCTCAAAGCGTCGTGGCGCGACCCGAGATTGGTCTGCGGGAATCATGGCAGGCACGCACGTCAATCAATGGCAGTCGGAGGCCGGAGGTTCGGGAGGGGATCCGCGGAGGTGGGAGGAGGGGGGGAGGGACAAACGGTGAGAAGCACCGAAGAATAGGAGACGGTAGCAGAGGCAGGTTTTGTGCAGTCAGCAGACGAGAGACGTACTCTGTGCTGTGTAGAGACATTCAGCGGACATTGTGCTCCTGTGAATAGCTCACACAAGCGACCCTTGGAGGTGCAGTCTTACCTGAAAGAGAGAGAGAGGGAGGAAGAGTGTTGCGGGCCAGCAGTGGTGAACAGAACGAGTCACATGTGTTTCTTAGTGTTGCCGCGCTAGAACTGCGTCGGTCGGTCGGCGTCTTCCCTTACTTGTTGCGTGTGTCGTGGTGGTTGGTGGTTGTGCGTTGTTTTGTGGCAGTGTTATCGTATAGACGGCCAAGCTGTACGCGCACAGGGAAGAAGATATGCTCACGATGGAGACGGACTTGAAGGGTGGCAGCCTGCATGCTAACATGCCGCCCCATCACCCGAGTGGGCTACACTCGCATCAGGTGTCCACGTACAGCGCCCTCGGCTCCATCGTGCACAGTTCGGCGCTGTCGGGTAACGTGAGCAGCGTCATGAATCTGGGACAGCCGCCCCCTCAGCAGATGCACCAGCCGCCCCCGTCAGCACAACAGCAACAGCAGCATTCCCACCCCCAACACCCATTGTCACACCCCCAACACACGCACCCCCAACAGCATCAGCCCCAACAACACGGCCAACATCCTCACTCTCACCAGCAACAGCAACAACATGGGCAGGGAGGCGGTGCGGGGGCGGGAGGCGGCGGTATGGCGGCTCATCACCACCCGGGGCAGCACCCAGCACATGGCCCTGCGAACAACAACAACAGCAACAGCAAGAACCAGAATGTGGACCGCGTGAAGAGACCCATGAACGCCTTCATGGTGTGGTCGCGGGGTCAGCGACGCAAGATGGCGCAAGAGAACCCTAAGATGCACAACTCTGAGATCTCGAAGCGACTGGGGGCCGAGTGGAAGCTCCTGAGTGAGACGGAGAAGAGGCCCTTCATTGACGAGGCCAAGAGGTTGCGCGCCGTGCACATGAAGGAACACCCGGATTACAAGTACAGGCCTCGCCGTAAGACGAAGACGCTGCTCAAGAAGGACAAGTACCCCCTCGGCACCGGCTCGT